GTAACTGTAGATAAAACTAACAACCAATGTAGTAGCACTTCTCTTTTTTTGATTGGCTGATGCGTAGCAGGGTCGACTGCTGAACTCCAGGCGAGACGCGCTTGATTCTCACGTGAGAGCGGCGCGGCCAGAGAAATTGCGTATATTAAATATATTATTAATAGTTTTTCCGCATGAGAAATACAATGTGTGACGGGAGTGTGAGACAAAAGACTGAAACGAGTGACTGTCATGCTCAATGCGTGACACACTATAAAAAAATATTTCACACTGACTCCACATTTAGGGGGCCACAAGGGGGTCCAAGCTTGTTGTCGCAGGGGCACTGGCCCCCCCAGGCCCCCGCCTAGAACCGCCATTGCTCACACACACACACACACACACACTTTCTCTCTCTCTCAAGAAGCAAAAACATGACTGCTAAAGGTTGTATCAGCGATGGCGGGGTAACATCACTTAACATCACGAGTGCTATTCCCTTAGGCCACGCCCCCTTGTCTCCCCAAAGTATTATAAGCAATCATGCGCATCCCGTGTGCAGAATGATGCACTTGAAGCAACACCAAGTCACAGCACGCAACGCTTCACATTGAAAAGAACATAGCGAAGGGATGGTATCTATAATCTATGCTTAGTAGGGCTGCACGATTTGGGAAAATGTCATATTGCCATTATTGAGCCAATATTGCAATTGCGATTTGCGACTCCGATATAATAAAATGGTTTCATGAGTCCAACTTGCTTGGTTCTAAAGTAAAATGCACACACAGATTAATGTTTATTTCTCAACTCAAACTAAAAACAACAACAACAATAAATGATTGATAACACCTATAATGATCAATAAACCATCAACCAAACCAACATTACAGTGATTCCATCAATTGAAAGCCATCAACTTTTTAAAAAATTATTAGGCTTAAAAAAAATATATAACAGCTTTTAAATTAAGTGAACTTCAAACAATCCCCACATAAACCCATAATAAAAAACATATTTACCTGTGCCCTTCCTGTCTTAACAGGTACAGAAATTGAATAAAGTTATCAAACAGTCTGCGCTGCCTGAATCATAAATTATATATATAATAATCCTTATTAAAGCTACAAAAGTTCTTTACTCAAGATCAGTGAGTAATTTTCTAATTTCCCTTTGTTCTTTTAACTTTACTGAAAGAACGCTTTATTCGCTGCTGGCCCTTTAAGAGCACCCGTTGCCGAGACGCGGATCTCACACGCGCCTCATAGCACAACTCTTTTCATCCATAGACTTTTCTTATGTTATGAAGATACTAGACAAAACCACATTTTGGCATAATTGTGTGTGCTATTGTTCGTTCAAGCTCGAAAGAGAACTGTTTATTCTGGGCTGGCACACGGTCAGTGCATGCGCATTATGCGAGTCTCATCTATTCTAATCTAGGGCACTCACAGGCAGCTTTTCACTTCTTGTCGTGCAAAATGCGAAAAGGCATTTGAAAATAAGAGGGGATCTTGTAACACTAGTCAAAGGATGACAAAAAAGAAGAGATGCTGCGCTAATAGCCCTACTTTGTTTATTTCATATAAAATCGCGGCATTTTGCGTTATATAATTGCATAGGTTTGAGATCGCTATTACGACTGCGATATAATTAATCGTGCAGCACTAATGCTTAGTGTATTCTAAAGGGCAATAAACTCCACTCCAGCAAGATAGTCATTTTATGCAAATCATAGACCTTTATGCCTTATCTACAAATAAAGTATAATATTGGGAACATTGATCTTGAAGAGAGTGTCGTCGTGTTACTGTCGCAACCGAACGCGACGCGCTAATGCTGATGCATGGAGAATGACTGAGGCGAGATGACTTTCCGTTAACTTTAACTTAGAGACTAAAATATTAATTTTACCACACATTAAGCTATTGAATGACTTTAGAAGTCTTGGAATATAGTGTGAAAACTTGATTGTGCTTTACAGTTTTTTATGCCTTTAGTGGGGCTTAACAAAATAACACAATATGCAGAATGTCGGACGTCACTTATAGGCTAAACTGTTTTTATAGATAAAACTATTTACATTCGGCAGTCATGAAAACAAATCTCAGATAACGGTTGACTAGGTAACAATGTGTAATTTTGCGCCGGAGTTCTCCTTTAACTTACATTAGCTAGCTAACTACGAACGAGCTAACCAGATAACATTAACAAATTGACAAGCACTTACAGGGCAGGCTCTTCAAATGACGGACGAAATTGGAGGTTGTCATCTGACTGTCCGCGATCTTAACGTTGCATGTCTTGCAAAGCGCTGTTCTTTTGCCATCTTGTTGTAAGAAATTCTTGAATCCAAAAGCGACGACGACCCTCGTTATCCCTCCGGCTGACATGTTGATGTGATCTGATGTAAGTGGGCGTGGTGTGCGCGTAAGGTATGAGAGGGCATGACTGATGATCTCGTGATCCAGTCATGACAGCGCTATTCTCAGCCTGCGCTCCAGCTGGATCAACTTTATTTTTTTTACATAATTTATATATTTTATATTCAAACTGAAAACATGATGTGATTAACACTCAAGTCATATTATTACATGCAAGTGTGTTTGATTTATGGACCAAATTTTCAGATCAAGTTTATGGACCAAGTTAATTTAATTAATAAACTAATTATATAAAACTATTAATGCACTACAATTAAACTGGTTATATGCCTTTACTTATAAAAAATAAAAAACTTATTTAAAAAAATACCAGGCTTAAGGCATTTATTTTTTATGCAGGCCATACACACAGGAGTGAAATGGTTAAGACCCCTCCCCCTACAAACACACACACATACACAGACAGGCAAAGACAGCAGGCTCAGATTGAGCAAGACCACATTCAAACAAACATATCTGACTTTCTGTGGGTCCTAGCTAATGAGTGTCAATTAGAAAGTTGTCCGGCTCGAGGAGTACAATATACATACCGATTTTTGTAACTGTAGATAAAACTAACAACCCCACTTTTGTCAAAAGGTGGCGCTACTGAGCCCTCACCACGCCCGTTTATGAAACTTTGCACGTGTCTACTGGCTAATAAATGTGATGTGTCTGTCGAGTTTCATGCATTTTGAAGCATGCTAAAGGTCTCAAAAGCATCCTAAAAGCATCCTAAAAGAAGGGTAAAGTTTGATGCGTCGCCACGGCAACAGTTTCAAAGATATCAAGAATCCATTCACAGGTCTACATCTGCCGTATGTTTACATTATACATATGAAGTTTGAAGCAAATCGGGTAAAAATAAAAGGGTGATATCAAAGCATTTTTAAAGTGACACACTTCCTGCTGCCAGTTGGTGGCGCTATAACTTTGACTCACAATAGTCACATCCATGTGATCGTCCTCTTACAGCGAACATACTGCTGAAGTTTCATCAAGATCAGTTAATGTATGCTGAAGTTATAACAAACTTCCTGTTTCACGTTTCTCGCTATGATTTCGTTTCCTCGCCACGGCCAAACCGTTCGAGATATCAAAAATCCCCACACAAGCTTTCATCCTCAATGTCTTCACTTTACGCTGACCGAGTATCGTCGAATTTGGATCAAAGCTCTAGGAGGAGTATTTCAAATACCATTGCGAGCGTTTTACAAACAAACCTCAATAGCCGACTTCCTGTTGGGCTGGGGTAAAAAGTAAAAGCGCGAGGTATAGATGAAACGATGAGATCAACATGCGTCCCGAGTTTCATATTATTACATGCAAGCGTGTTTGAGTTATGGACCAAGTGTTCGGACCCCATTCCAGGGGGCGCTGACGAGCCCCCCTGCCACGCCCGGGTACCATCTTCAGCCCGGCTCTGATGGCCGCGGGTTCTGACCCGTGTGCAAAGTTTCAAGAGTTTTCGAGCATGTTAAGGGCCCCAAAAGTGCCCGAATAGTCGTAAGAAAAATAATAATAATAATAATAATAATAGAAAAGAATAATCCTAAGGAAAACAATAGGGCCTTCGCCCTTTCAGGGCTTGGGCCCTAATAATAATAATCCTAAGGAAAACAATAGGGCCTTCGCCCTTTCAGGGCTTGGGCCCTAATAATCCTAAGGAAAACAATAGGGCCTTCGCCCTTTCAGGGCTTGGGCCCTAATAATCGTTAGGAAAACAATAGGGCCTTCGCCCTTTCAGGGCTTGGGCCCTAAATATTTATTATTAAAAAATAATAAAGCCGCCTTTTGACTGATAAATTTACCGGTACGTGACTTTCCCGGTATGGTTGATCACTGCATTTAGATTTTTTTAATAGAGATTGCAGTATTTTTGATCTGATCAAAATAATAATAATAATAAAAAAGTATATTAACTAAAGAATTATTATTTTAGTTTATTAGTTATTATTAGTCTATTAGTTTTCCATGACTTTGTATTTTAATATTATGGAAATTAAAATCTTATCATTTAAAAAAAAAAAAATAGTTACTTGCCATTGGTTCAGTAAAAAATCAATTTTGTAATGTTCCTAACAAAGTTAATCAAACCAAATGATATTCTGACTCTGACATAAATCGCATAATATTAAAGAAATGTAATACTTACACCAAAAAACCTAGATGTCAAATTGTTTTTTTAAGCAGTTTAACAAAGAAAGTTAGCCTAACCTTACCAACAGCATCCCATAAGGAATTATTTTCTATTTTCTAACCAAAATATATTTGAAATATATACTAAATGTGTTGTAACAGTGCAGCTCACTGTGCAGTAAATATATTTAGTTTCAACCTTCATAAACCAAAATATATTTCAAAATGTATTTGAGGGGCAAGAATACATTTCTAATCTTACAATAGCCTATATTTATGCTAAATGCAAATGTAGATGGAATAGCCTACTAGAGATCAAAACGATCAAAAAAGATTTCTAATTTAATAATGAAAAAAAAGCAATATATTGTATATATACACATATTAAATCATTAGAATTTGTACAAATATATGCAGATATAATCCTAGTTGTCAGGCTTGGCTACAGTGATGTCCCTGAACACGAATGAATATCCTCAGCAGTGCTGTCAGCAGTCTCTGTGATCTGCACAGCCTATCTCTGACTGCACCATCCTGCAGAGAAGGAGCGCCTCACACCATGTGTGTCCAGATAATAGCACAGCTCAGCAAGCCTGAAGCTAACGCACCAAAGATTCTGTCTAAAAGCGTTCAACTATTTTTAACATCAATCCCCTACATGCACTGATAAATAAAACATTTTTTGTTGTTGTTTTTGTTGTCGTCTTTACAAAAAGCTCTATTCAATGTTGCTGAATATTTAGGGACAACACAGTGCAGCCCATAAACCACACACAGAGGGCGGTCGGCGCAAACACACGTTTAACAAGCTTGATCAGCATAATGATTCATCAGGAAGTAGTTTAATGGGGTGCTGTGCAGACTTACCCAGGAGGGGAAATAAGCTTCTGGCTGAAAATAGGCACCAAAGTGTTTGTTCCGTTTGAAGTTTCCCAGGTCAGCCTGCAGCGCAAATGCAGCCAGAAGGAAATAAGCCTCTTCTCTCTGGATGCACTGAGACTGCAGTACCTGCTTCCGCAATTGCCAGTAGTAATAATACCGTGCCATGCGATCGCTAAAACAGATATAGAACGCATATAGAACACATTCAGTCATTTTTCAAATTGTAATTTTGAATGTATACACTACCGTTTAAAAGTTTGGGGTCAGTGTGATTTATGCTTTTGAAAGAAGTCTTTTATGTTCACCAAGGCTCCATTTATTTGACCAAAAATACAGTAAGCATTACAATACATTTTTTTATTTAAATTGTAATATATTATAAAATGTCATTTATTACTGTGATGGTAAAGCTGAATTTTCAGCATCATTATTCCAATCATCAGTGTCACATGATCCCTCAGAAATCATTCTAAATTCCTGATTTGGTGCTTAAAAACATTTCTTAATATCATCAATGTTGTAATATTTTTGTGGAAACCTTCATACTTTTTCCCAGAATTCTTTGATGAATAGGGCTGTCAAACGATTAATCGCGATTAATCGCATCCAAAATAAATAATTGTGTTTACATAATATATGTGGGTGCACTGTATAATTATTTTATATATATATATATATATATATATATATATATATATAAATACACACACATGCTTGTATATATTTAATAAATATTTTCATGTATATACTGTATGTAGATTTATATATAATTTATATTATATAGAAATATAAATATTTTATATATAAATAATATTTTTTTCTTAAATATTCATGCAAGTGTGTGTATTTTTATACAGTATATACAAAATAATTATACACAGTGTACCCACATATATTATGTAAACACAAACTTTTATTTTGGATGCAATTGATCGCGATTAATCGTTTGACAGCCCGATTGATGAATTGAAAGTTTAAAAGAATATATTTTATTTCTTTTGTAACAATGTATTTGCTGTCACTTTGGATCAATGAAATGCATTCTTGCTGAATAAGAGTACTAAAGGAATCTTACTGACCCCAAGCATTTGAACAGTAGTGTAGATGTGTAGATGTCTCACCTGATAAGTCTTCCATTTTCAACATAATACTGTGCTCTGAAGTGAACAATCATTGGAGGTCCAAACTGGTCAATTCCCTGCAGTTGGTAAGAACTCTGTCAAAGTGTGCAACAACAACAAAAAATTTCTCCTAAGAACATCAAACTCTGTTTGCATGATACCTTGCTGGCTTCCCGTTTCCACTCTTTTGGACAATATTTTGACAGTTTCTGTCCCAGTTCCATATATATATGTTCATTATCTAGGAGAAAAAGCACACTTAAAATACACAGAAATGCACACGCATTTAAGACTTTAATGTTTGTGTATATATGTACTGGATACTGTGGGAAAATAACAAACATCCAGTAATTAACTACAACAAAATAAACCATGACAGGGTGATTGAGACCCCAATGCAAAGTAAAAATAAAAAAAAATGCAATAAAACTGGCAAACCATATATTATGCCAGAAATTTCAAAAATAAAGGAATAAATGGACAAAAAATTTGAGTATTTGATATTTATAGATATATATATTTATAGATATATTATATATATTTATACAAACCCAATTCCATAAAAGTTGGGACACTGTACAAATTGTGAATAAAAACAGAATGCAATGATGTGGAAGTTTCAAATTTTAGTATTATATTTAGAATACAACATAGATCACATATCAAATGTTGAAAGTGAGACATGTTGAATTGCCATGCCAAATATTGGCTCCTTTTGGATTTCATGAGAGGTACAAATTCCAAAAAAGTTGGGACAGGTAGCAATAAGAGGCCAGAAAAGTTAAATGTACATATAAGGAACACCTGGAGGACCAATTTACAACTTATTAGGTCAATTGGCAACATGATTGGGTATAAAAAGAGCCTCTCAGAGTGGCAGTGTCTCTCAGAAGTCAAGATGGGCAGAGGATCACCAATTCCCCCAATGCTGAGGCAAAAAATAGTGGAGGAATATCAGAAAGGAGTTTCTCAGAGAAAAATTGCAAAGAGTTTGAAGTTATCATCATCAACAGTGCATAATATCATCCAAAGATTCAGAGAATCTGGAACAATCTCTGTGCATAAGGGTCAAGGCCGGAAAACCATACTGAATGCCCGTGATCTTCGGGCCCTTAGACGGCACTGCATCACACACAGGAATGCTACTGTAATGGAAATCACAACATGGGCTCAAGAATACTTCCAGAAACCATTATCAGTGAACACAATCCACTGTGCCATTCACCGTTGCCGGCTAAAACTCTATAGGTCAAAAAAGAAGCCATATCTAAACGGGAACCAGAAGCACAGGCGTTTTCTCTGGGCCAAGGCTCATTTAAAGTGGACTCTAGCAAAGTGGAAAACTGTTCTGTGGTCAGACGAATCAAAATTTGAAGTTCTTTTTGGAAAACTGGGACGCCATGTCATCCGGACTAAAGTCCGGACTCAGTTCAGAAGCCTGCATCTCTGATGGTATGGGGTTGCATAAGTGCGTGTGGCATGGGCAGCTTACACATCTGGAAAGGCACCATCAATGCTGAAAGGTATATCCAAGTTCTAGAACAACATATGCTCCCATCCAGACATCGTCTCTTTCAGGGAAGACCTTGTATTTTCCAACAAGACAATGCCAAACCACATACTGCATCAATTACAACATCATGGCTGCGTAGAAGAAGGATCCGGGTACTGAAATGGCCAGCCTGCAGTCCAGATCTTTCACCCATAGAAAACATTTGGCGCATCATAAAGAGGAAGATGCAACAAAGAAGACCTAAGACAGTTGAGCAGCTAGAAGCCTTTATTAGACAAGAATGGGACAACATTCCTATTCCTAAACTTGAGCAACTTGTCTCCTCAGTCCCCAGACGTTTGCAGACTGTTATTAAAAGAAGAGGGGATGCCACACAGTGGTAAAAATGGCCTTGTCCCAACTTTTTTGAGATGTGTTGATGCCATGAAATTAAAATCAACTTATTTTTCCCTTAAAAATATGCATTTTCTCAGTTTAAACATTTGATATGTCATCTATGTTGTATTCTAAATATAATATTGAAATTTGAAACTTCCACATCATTGCATTCTGTTTTTATTCACAATTTGTACAGTGTCCCAACTTTTATGGAATTGGGTTTGTAGATATTTATTAAATATTTGAGTCGAAATGGTATTATCATGAGAATTAAAGACAACACAAAGTGATACAATAGACCTGAAACGCTAAGCATGGCAATATCCATGAGGAAAACAGTTCATAAATCATAAGCGTGTGTGTGCGTGTGTGTGTGTGTGTGTGTGTGTGTGTGTGTGTGTGTGTGTGTGTTGTGCGTGTGCGTGTGTCTTACTCTGAATAACACTGAGGCCAAACAGATGACAGTCCTTCAATCTAAGCAGATCACAGACCTGCACCAACAACTCCTGACACACAGTCTTAACCTGAGAGAGAAGAACAAAGAAAGTAAGAGAGAGATGACCTTTATTACCGAGAAAAAGGATATAGTGTGTGTTTTTAAGTTGTGGAACAGGTTTAACTTTTCAATGAAATTTTATTCATATTATTTTGATGTCGGTAATAGTACTAAAAAACAGCTTCTCAAACTCAATCAAAACATGAAATTACTCAACAAAAATAGATCTCTATTTTTACAACATTTAATAGTGATCCGGAAGAGCTCAAGATGCTTCTTGTGGGATGCAACATCAGAGCGGGACTCTAAATGACATGTTTAGAGCAGTTGTCTATCAAAAACAATCTTTGTATATGATTAAAATAAGTGCTACTTTTTATGAAATCATGGAGAATCTGTGCTTTACGAGCAATCACCAATAGGGTGTGTGTGTCATTAGCCGCGTTTCCACTGCCGGGCTAGGGCTGGCCAGAGCTAACAGCGAGCCGGGCCGAGCTAGTGGCCTCGGGCCTCAAGCACCGGGCTTGCGTTTCCACTGCCGGGCCAGTAGCCCCACAGCGCTGCCCCAGACCCCACCCCTAACACGCCTTTCAGGATCAAACGTCATAAAACCCAACCCATTTCAGCGGGTATTATGAATTAATTTATTTTTTTAAATTAGGAAGATAGCATGTACAGTGGTGGAAATAAGTATTTGACCCCTTGCTGATTTTGCAGGTTTGCCCACTTACAAAGAATGCAACGATCTATAATTTTAATCATATGTACATTCTAACAGTGAAAGACAGAATCCAAAAGAAAATTCCAGAAAATCACATCATATGAATTTATTAAAATTGATAACCATCTAATGAGGAAAAACAAGTATTTGACCCCCTACCAAACAGCATGTTAATATTTTGTAGAAAAGCCATTATTGGCCAGCACAGATGTCAAACGCTTTTTATAGTTGGTGACAAGGTTTGTGCACATTTCGGCAGGGATGTTGGCCCACTCCTCCCTGCAGACAGCCTCCAAATCTTTCAGGTTCCGAGGTTGTCGCCTGGCAACTCGAATTTTAAGCTCCCTCCAAAGATTTTCAATTGGATTCAGGTCTGGAGACTGGCTAGGCCACTCCAGAACCTTGATGTGCTTCTTCTTCAGCCACTCTTTTGTTGCTTTTGGCGGTGTGCTTAGGGTCGTTGTCGTGCTGAAACACCCATCCTCGACCCATCTCTCACTGAGGGAAGGAGATGTTGGTCCAGAATTCCACGATACATGGGCCCCGTCCATCCTCCCCTCAATACGATGGAGTTGTCCCGTCCCCTTGGCTGAAAAGCACCCCCAAAGCATGATGTTGCCACCACCATGCTTGACGGTAGGGATGGTGTTCTTTGGGTTGTACTCTGTGTTCTTTGCCCTCCAAACACGACGAGTTGAGTTGAGGCCAAAAAGTTCTATTTTGGTCTCATCTGACCACATCACCTTCTTCCAGGCCTCTTCTGAGTCGTCCAGGTGGTGAATGGCGAACTTCATGCGGGCCTGTACATGTTTCTTCTTGAGCAGGATTTCAATCCATGACGGCGTGTAGTGTGTTACCAACCGTTTCTTTTGTAACTGTGGTCCCAGCTGCCTTCAGTTGATTCATCAGTTCCCCCCTTGTGGTTTTGGGATGATTCCTCACCGTTCGCATGATCAGGGACACCCCACGAGGCGAGATCTTGTGTGGAGGCCCAGACCGAGGGAGGTTGGCGGTGGTGTGGTGCTTCTTCCATTTCCTTATAACTGCACCGACAGTTGATCTTTTCTCTCCAAGTTGCTTCCGATTCTCTTGTAGCCCATCCAGCCTTGTGCAGATCGACAATCTTGTCCCTGATGTCCGTAGAAAGCTCTTTGGTCTTGCCCATGGTAGTGAAGTTGGATGCTGGTGTTTGTGAGTTGACAGGTGTCTTTTATACAGGTAATGAAGTGAGGCAGGTGTATTTGATGTAGATAATTGGTTGGGATTGAGGCTGTGTCTTAAAGAAAGACTAACTGGCTTGTAGGAGCCAGAATACTTGCTGTTTGGTAGGGGGTCAAATACTTGTTTCTCATCAGATGGTTATCAATTTTTATAAATTTATATGATGTGATTTTCTGGAATTTTCTTTGGGATTCTGTCTTCACTGTTAGAATGTACATATGATTAAAATTGTAGATTGTTGCATTCTTTGTAAGTGGGCAAACCTGCAAAATCAGCAAGGGTTCAAATACTTATTTCCCCACTGTATATTAACTCAACTGCCGTAGTGGCTTCAATAGTGTCCCGAGACCAGTACAGGCGATTCTCCATTTCAAGCAGCGATTTTTGCGCGATATAACAAGTAGGGCTGCGGGCACGTTTTCAAGTTATTCATTAATCGTTAACCGAGGCCCATCGGTTAATACTCGGTGCATAGTGTGCGCGCCGCAACCTCGAGATACAGAGTAAATTTTTAATACCTTTTAATAACTGATTGGACCCATGCATTTGAAACGAAATTAATTTATAGAAATAAAATGCAGCAAGTACGGAGCAGTTAAAGCCGCATTTCCATCACCCTTCAAACTGAAATTGCCAATTGAAAATAAGCAAAACGTCCATTTCACAAAAACTCTTGAGTTAGTGTCTGCAAATAATAATAATATAATAATAACCATCATCATCATTATTGTAACATTTTATTAGGCTGCATAGCCTATGTAGAAGACGTCTTTATCCAAAAAAGGAACAGAGCACAAATAAACACAATATTTTTGACACAAATATCATCCAGTGTGTGTGGAGCACGCACTGATGGCTGCGAGACGCCCATGTGATTTCATTGCATTTCTTTCAGTGGAAACAACTTAAAATACTCTTTAATTTCTGGTCATACAGAAAATAATAATACATTATTCGCAAATAAATTTATTTATAACAAGAAAACGTTGTGCTTTAACAATTAATCAAGGCGCGCTTCATGATCTCCGTGAACTGAAGCGCGAGACCTGAAACAGCCACCGCATTCGAATTTGTTCGTTTTAAATTGGACATTTAAAGCTTTAGTCTACAGGGGTTATATCCTTTGTAGATTAAAGCTTTAAATGTCCAATTTTAAAACGAACAAATTCGAATCGAAAGCCAATATCTTCTATGTTTATGTAGCTTAATTTCTCTCTAAATGTGCATCCGGAGATGGAGATATGTTTTTAGCCGAAAATCATTTAGAAAACAATAGTTTATTAATAAACAATTAATGCCTCGTTATTTTATATTATTTTATTATCAGACACATTTATTATAGCCTATAAATCACCCATAAATCCCCTTTCTGTAGGCTGTGGTTACGGCTCTTCTCATTCAGCACTGCGGGGAAAATATCATTTCCAGGTTCTAATTTGGCCTCAGAAAACCAGTAATATATATATTTTTTTTCATATTAATTTGTCAAATATTTTAAATGTTTAAGGGGCAAAAAAAATCAAACAAATATCTGAAAATTCGTCGATATGTAGCCTATATATTTTTGCGCAGATTTTGGCATAGGCCTACAGTTCAAATTAAAATGTTATGCAATTTTAAACGGTTAATCGGTTAAACATGGACACCCCTGTGCATCTTGCTTCAGATAACCTTCTATAACACCGATAAACTCCGCCTTTTACCTTGAACACGCCTCTAGCCCGAGCTGGCCCCCTCTGGCCCAAGGTATTCGACGGGCCAGAAATCCTGGCCGTTGGCCCTGAGGAAGCCCGATCAAGCCCCGGAAGTGACAGTGGAAACGCGACTGGCCTGGCACGCACTAGCACGGCCCGGCCCTGGCCCGGCAGTGGAAACGCGGCTATTGAGTGCATGGAATTGTACTTACACTGACTATTACATTGAGTGTTTCATCATTCGGAGGAACACACACACACACCGGCGGTCCTGCATCGTCTTGTTATTGTGGAAAGACAGTTTGCTCATGTTTGAGAGGCTGCAGCCTGTAGATTCGTGCCCCTCACTGGAGCTCCACCCCTGAGCACCTCCCAGTCACAACGGGATCAGATAATTGAGATGCACACATAAAAAAAAAAAAAAAAAAAGATCCACACGCACGATCCTGTGACCAGAGAACTTAAACCACACAACTGTTTT